AGAAACTTCATCTTAGACTTAAAATGCGATTAAAATAAGCCGAGAAAAGGTTGAACATTTTGATTTACGAGAGTTCAAACGATCTGCAACTCATCGAGTTGCATATTCAAAGATCAAAGTTAATTAAAAAATACAAAATTTCTTGTTCAACTGTGTACTTTTCTCAAAATGTGTTTCTTAAGTTAATCATTATTTTATTTTATTTCATTACAGTAGCATGGTAAAGTCCGGGTCTGGGACAAATAAATAAAAAACAATTTTTAAATGGAAAAATAAGCTTTTTAATTGGCTTTTTAGCTATAATAATATTTTTCCTACAATTTCCTACTCTGCTCGAGCTCTCTTGTTCGGGCTTCTGCCCATCAAGTGTATCTTTGAAGGAATTCCTCTTGAGGAATTCCGAAATAGCTTTCACATTTTATATCAATATATCTCAAAAATTTATCAATATTATTCCGATCTTGAATTAGTTCATTTTTTTTATCCTCCAAAATGGCTATTTCGGCCTGCTTGTTTTCTATTTCTTTATTGAGACTACCAATCCTATCTTGAGAAGCGGATAAAATTTCAGTTAACTCTTCTATTTCCAGAACGCAATCATCAATTTCTTTCTTTGACTTTTTGTATTTTTCTTTTTTAATCTCATATTTTTCTTTGTAATGTAATGATTTTGCCCATCTCGATCTTACTGAAAAACTAAGCGAGTTTGATGACATGTTGACTTGTAGGATAATAGAACGTACGAATTAATAGAACAAAAATAATGATTAGGATCATTACGATCCCAAAGATCTTATACTTACGATCATCCATATTTACCTATACTATTTATATTTAATTGGCTTATATAGTTCTGAGTAGTCTGTCCCAAAGCGGACAAATTTACAGGCGAGGAGGGACGCATTCATAAAAAAAGCTTATTTTTTCTTATAAAAATTGTCTTTAGTTTATTTGTCCCAGACCCGGACTTTACCATACTACTCATATTTCTTTTCTTTCAGTTATCACGATTGTGATTAGTGATAAATCGATCACGACTTTGTTAATATATATTACTTCAACTGCCCAATTCAAGCCTTTATGCTCTAAACGGAATAAATATTCAGAGCTTGTATCAAGTTGTGAACAAAAAAAAATTCGTTCAATTGACATCTTCTTGTAGCCTCTATGTCTCTCTCCGCTCAGTCATTAAGTTTTTTAATTGATTTGATTGTAAAAATCGTGGTTTCCACTTGTATTAGTTACTCTAGACGGCAGCATAACAAAAAGTCATTCAAATGTCATTTAAAGGTCAAATGCTGAAGTCAGTTTGAATGACCTTGAGCGTTCAAACTTATAGTTCGTCAATCTGTATAAGCTCATGGTTCGAATCTATTGTGTGTAGCATCAACCATTCGTGAGTTATAGGTGTAAACAGGTTTACATGATAAAAACGCCCCGTATATTTTGAAGTTACAGTGAAACCTCGGTTATTTTATACCTCAGTTATTTTATATTTTACATAGCGAGAGTCTAGCAGCTAGGGAGCACAAAGTTTCTCCCCCTTCGGTCATTTACAAAGGTTTTTACTAATTTTTTGTTACGCCATCTCTTGTTTTCTTAAAATACCCAGCATAACAAAAATATAAAATAACCGAGGTTTCACTGTATTACAATATTTCCTATTCCATATTTATCGTGAATTTAGGTATTTGCATGTGCATAGTCACAACTAGCGGATCTAGTAAGATAAGTTATCGCCAGTTTCGGTATTTTTTCGATGAATAGCCCGAATCTTTTCAGCATAAATTCCTTCTTGTGCATATGAGCATTGATATAAAAGTCACAAACACTATTCTATTGGTAATGGTATCAGAAAAAGTTGAATTGATGGAAAAAGATTTTACTGTCTAAAAGTGGCATTAAAACATGAAACTCAGTTCCAGATGGTTGGAATTATTGTTTAAAAAAAGGCTTTTCAATCAATAAAGCCTGAAAATGAGTTTCACATTTAAAATCACATTAACCTGTGGTTTTAAACCTTTTCTTGTTCTTCACCTTTTTTCTCTCGAAATCTTTTTCCATCAATAAGTTTGTTATTGTTTGCTCATCTTGAGGTTAAAATGTTGATTCAATGTCAATGGATGTGTAAAAAAATATGTTAATGACCATCTAATGGTTTCTCTACTTATCATGAAACCCTGTCCTGTTGCCTTTTACAACAATGGAAGGGACGAGAAGCTGAAATGGATTATTCAGTTGCAAATTTGGTTCTTTTTATTTCAACAACATGATATTAATGACATTAAAAGAGCAACAAACATGAGAAAGTTTCATGTTAATGCTAATGGTTATTTGAAAGGAAACAAAATCAGCATAAAATGTCTTTCACCATAAATATTTATAGCTAATAAAGTATTTGTTAATCAGTCATGATCAAAAAGAATGTCATTAAATTCAAAATAAACACCAAGTTCTGGGAACCGTTTTCATGGTAAAATAATGATATCGAGTTGTGGTGAGAAATGGAATGTAAAAAAGAATTGAAATGAAAATGGAAAATGAAAATTTTCGGTTTCAGAGCATCTGTAAAGGGTTAAAGTGAATTTCATGATTTCTTTTTAATATCGAAGTTTGGAATAAACTGAAAACTCCAAAATATGAATTTCTAATTTTAGTTTATTCTTTGGTTTGTTTTAGTTGAAGAATGGTAGAAATATTTCAACATCCGAGATTCGTTCATCTTGTTCATTCTCCAAGAATCGTGATTTTCTCTGAATACTTTCATGTTCCAACTTAATACATTTTGAAATATAATAGGAACTTCCTGAAGAAAGAAATTCTTTTTTTCTCTTTTAGACTTTTCTAGCAAAGAAGGAAAAAGAAGCCAAAATTGAGAAAAGGGTTAAGGGAGAAGCAGATGGAAAAAGTTGCAGCCATGAATAAGAATTGAAAGAACTTTTGGTGATGCCGACTTGTTGGTAAATGATGAAGTGGAAAATTGAAATAATAGGAATTACGATGAATGATGAATGATTGAAATCAAAGTTTAAGTAGCTTACGAAAGGAAATGAATTTAAGAATTGAAATTTTCATTCCTAACTTTGATTTCAACTTTTCTCTTCAAACCACAAAATATAAGATAACAGGGACTGGAAGAAACAAAATGAAACTTTTGTTGATCAAATGAAATTTAATTTTTTCTCTTTTCTCTTTTTGTTCTTTTCCTTTTTTTCATCATCATGATAATGTCAACTTTTCCTTTTCAAATTCAATGGAAAATTCATTGGCTGTGATATTCTTTTCTCTACTTTTTAGGATTAATTTTAACTCACAGTTTTACTACTTTCAACTGGTTCGCCTTCAGTTAAACTCTTAACATGGCTCATTGATAAAGAACAGTAAATGGTGAGTGAATAAAGAATGAACATGAAGAACAACGAAAAATTTAGGAATGAGGGGAAAACTTTACTCGGTAAACTCGAACCAGAACCAATTGTCAACTAACTTGAATCGAAACTCAACTGAACATCATGAAGATGTTGATGAAAAATGATAATGATGATTCGAATCGAATATGAGACTTTTTTTGGAAACAAGAAGTTTATCCTGAATTGATGGTCCATTCCAGTATTTACCGAATTATCAATGAACACAATTTCATTTATCAGATTATTCGAAGCAATTGGAAAAACTGTAAATAATAATCTTTCATTTTCTTGAAAATAAATTTTCTTACAAAGAAAACAGAAAGCATCAGAATCTCGATTGCTGGAAAAATTTCTTAACATTCTATTCAAATAGTTATTACTATTTTATTAATTCGAATAATTAAATTCATTTGATGTAGAATAAAAGCTCATGCTTTAGTGAGTAGATCAGATATATTCTATCGCACCATCATATGATTGATCAATATGAAATTTGTGAATTTTCAGAGCCTGTAAAAAAATTAAGAATCAAATTTTTTAGTTAGAGTTTTATTCTATCGATTAATTTAGCACTCTTTTTGACCTCAAATCCATCCGGATAAACATGAGCCTTGAGTGAGACCAAAAGGTCTCATCAATGTTACAGAATTGTTTCCACAACAACAAAAGAAAACGCTCCGCAATACTTTGATTTCATTATAGGAGAAAGATTAGTCAGAACCTTCATTTTGCAAATCATAGAATATACCAATCAATGTTTAATTTATTTGTTCCAATGATTTTTGAAAATAAAAGTTTGTGGACATGATTAATATCATTGTTTGCGAAATCCTTTAAGAATGAAATAAATGTCGAATGCTTCATAAATTTCCGACCTCACTATGGATCCTGTCAAAACAACTTTACCAGAAATGAAAATACGCAATACAATTCTAGGTTTGACCATTCGATAAATTAAACTAGGATAAGTTCAGGTTTGTATTAAGAGAACTGACTGTGTGTCAAGACCAGACCTTCCAAAGAAGCGCAAAATTTCTGAAAATTTTGTACCGAGCGTGTTTTTTTCATTTTACGCCTTCATAAAGGCATAACTCGTGAACGGTTAGTGCTACAGACCTCAGACTTGAACTGGGAGCTTAGGCAGGTTGAACAACCATTAGTTCACACGCTCAAGGTTATTCAAGGTCAATTTTTCATTTGACTTTTAAGCGACATTGGAAGGTCATTTTCTGAAACCGCGAAATTTGACCTTGAATAACCTTGAGCGTTTCAACTTATGGTTGTGCAATCTGACTAAGCACATGGTTCAAGTCTGAGATCTGTAGCACATACCGTTCGTGACTCATGCCTGCATGAAGGCGTAAAATGAAAAAACACGCCCGGGGTTGAATTCTTCAATCACTAGATAAAGTTTTGTTTAAATTCTAATCCTTTAGTTCAATTCAGTTCTGAGAAAATCTCAGATTCTTAAGTATTAATTTGGCCATAACTTCCTGCTCACAGGTTAGGTTCAAGAATATTCTCTTCGTTTATCGAGTTTTCACTTTGAATTAAATTCTATGGTTAATTATGTGGAGCTGTTACACTTACCGTTAATTTGAACTTGCTTTAACCTGCATGGAAGTGAAGTTCCAATTACGTTGGTTGCTATACAAGAATATGCTTCTAAATCATTTTCTTCCAAAACCAGAACTGAACTTTGTCGATCTTCAGATAGACTTGCCAGCCTTTTAGAGGAAACTGGAAAAGAGTTGGAATCAGAAGAAAGAAACTCCAGTTTAACTGTCGACGGAGAAGTTGATTGAGCTGATGAAGATGATAAAGCGAGTGAAGATGAAAGAGAGGAAACTGTTTCACCAACAGTTCGATTATATCGATACCAAGTGAAGTTAAGAACTGGCGGATTGGAAGTTGCTTCACAAGACAAGAGCCATCGATTACCACCAAGTGATTCCTTGTGAATAAAACACTCGGGACGATCTAAAGTATCGATGAACAAAAAAGAATTTATTATTTTCGGAATTCAATAGACTTTGAATTAGTCAAAGTGAAAACCACTTGATCTTGTGGCTTTGTTTAATTTAATCAACAGCAATTGTTTTAATTGAACAACTTTGACTTTTTGTTTGATCCAATAATTAACTGTTCATCATGTTACAGAACTAATTTTTATCGCTATTGAACATCTCGAGATTTTTTTCTGGGCCTTTTCTTAGTTGTGAAGCTTTTCTTGATCAATACATTTAATTGAATTATCATGTAAATGAGCCTTCTTCTGCCATTAGTTTATCATATTTGTGAATCTTGAACAATCTTCAATTCAACGTGAAATGGAACAAGAAAAGTTGAATGTAAAAAAGTTGTTCAATAAATTGCATTAATTTGCAAATATTAACCGTTATTATTTGTATAAACTAGTTGACTCGATGAAAATCAATGTTGAAAAGAAAACAAATTGTCAACAATCTTGTTCAATTAAGTGACTTGTGATTAAGTGTACTTGATATTAACAGTTAACTAAAAGTGTAATTCAATTTGGAGAACCAAAAATTTGATTCAAGTAATCTGATTAAGTGGTTATTTTAACTGAACCGAAAACGCTAATCAATCATTCATGTCGTATCAAACCCAAACGTCGTCAATCTTAAAATAGAAAATTCAAATTGCTCTAAAGTTCGAAAATACATCAAAGTCTTATCGCTCAAAAACTCAACTACTCGAACTCGAAACAATCGAAAACCTAACAATGACCATCGTTTGTCGATTCACACTCCTAACGATTAAAGAAAATATAATAAGAATTTCCAGCTCAAAGAAAAAATTTTTCTCGAAATGAAAAATTTTCGATCAACTCTAACACAGAATTTTGTCGAAAATTTTTCGAAATGTTGATGAAAGTCTTTCATTTCGATTATTTTCAGATCAGAAATCTCTTGAAATTTAATGTTAAGTAAAAACTCATTTTCATAATCTTTTTCTGTGTTTTCATTCAATATCGTTTCATGAAAAATCTGATTTTAATTTTAACCTTTTTCAATGTTGAATTGTTCGCTAACCATGAAATTGCGATAAAAGAATAAGAGATTTTATTGCAGGAATGAATGCTAAACGAAGAGAAAAGACGAGGAAAAGTTATCCAATTTCAATTCACTTTCAATTCAAGATATGACTGGCGAATCCAATCATGATTCTGGTTCATTATCAAACCTTTCATCTTTTCTTACAATTGATCAGTTTCAACCATTTTCTGTGGTCACCTTATTAACACAAGTTTCCCTGACATTTTTCATCTTCTTCATCAACCTAATTGTTGATCGAAGAAAAAAAAGAAAACAAGAAAAAGGAAAATAAAAACACATTGATGATGACGATGATGAGTGAACAATTCAAATGGCAATATCAGTTTACACTGAAAAAGAAAAGTAAAGAGAAAAATATTTATCTGAAAAAAAACTATTGATTCGTTTTTTGTTTCATCTCTAACACCTTTTTCATCCTTAAGTGTCCAACTCTTTTACAATGATCAAGTTACAATTGAACCACTGAGCAAAAGTAAAATGTTGAAACAATAATGTTAATGATCATTCCAATGGTTCAGATTCTTTACAGCATTTTCTCACTTTTATCGTCAACATCATGAAGAAAAGTTGAAAACCATTGGCAGAAGCAAAGGTAAGATGGAAAAATTTGATTGCAAAAAAATGTTGACCTCAATTTTTTCGAAATTTCAGTGTGATGAGAAAATTATCAATCTTTGTTTGAAGTTTATCCTTTTTTGTGTTATTTTTAACTTTAAGATTCTTTTTCATTGAAACACTTTTGGTTCAATTGAGGTTAAACGTTACTTACATAAAACGTTCAAAATGAAATGAGCTTGTCCTGATCCATGTTTATTTGTAACAACACAAGTATAATTATCTCTCAAATCTTTGTTTATTCGAGTTTCATTGAAATAAAGGTTGGCTCCTTGTGAGATTAATTGACCAGTGGATCCTTTTATCCAGTGATAATGTCCACTTGGATTGGCTGATGCACTGCAAACAACCAAATTATCGGCAAATTTATCACCTTCCAACAGTTCTAATTGGCTTATTGAAATTTTCACTCTTTCAGGAGCATCTTTTCAGTCGAAATCAGCCAATGAAAGAAAAAAAGAAATTGGATTAATAATAATTTCTATAAAAATTTCATCACATGATAAGTGCGATAAACTCGTAAACGCACAAGATTTGAACAGAAAAAAACGAAAAAAGAATCTTCGGAGTGATTTCGATTACAAAATTAACTTGTATGATCGAGTTCTGACTCTGGATTCATGACCTTATTTAGACCAATGAGAGTAGATTAATGAACAATTAAAAATTTGCATTCTTTTTGATCGACTAATAAAAGTTTACTCTTAATCAAGAAACAAATGTAATTTTGTTGAGCAAGTTTGAGTTGACTTTTGAAGGGAAAAAAAGTTTAAAAAAACGAATACTTTTTCAGTTGAAATTGCAATCCTTGCTAAACTGTAATTGAATAAAACAATTTGCTAGTCGAGTGATCACATAATTAGCGTAAAGTTGCAATGAAAATTTAAATATCTTTCAATTAAAAGTTAATTGCGATAAATTTATTCAAAGGTGAAAAAAAGAGAATCAACTATTTTCATAGAAAAAAGTTCAGCTTTTTAGAGATCTTTTTCTTCCTTATAAAGCTACTTTTGTTCAACTCGATTTGCAGTCGTTTGAATTTTCGATATCATGCAATCACAGAGAAATAACTTTTCAGTTCAATTCTTGTAAACTGTTTGGAAAAAGTTAAAGTTTCACTTTTTCCTCATTACTATATTGTCTTTATCCATTGACACTGAAATATCATTTACCTTCATTTGCACTCTATTATTGCAATAAAAAAGAGTAAACATAATCATTAATCTTTCACTTTTTTCCTGCTTTTTTCGCACCTCAACTCTTCTCTCTTTTAATCTTTCATTCAAATGTAGCTTCACACCTGGAGTGATTTTTGTTGCAAGTGATTAAGTTAATTCACCTTTTTTTCTGTTCAAAATTCGTCTTCTCTTTTCAAGGTTCACTGATTGTTCAATATTACTTACATTCATTTCGATAGATTGTGCTGCTCTTTACTGGTGGTCCTAATCCATTTGTTTGACTTTGACAAGAGATTATATCATTATCCCGAAGCCATGAATTATTTTTAATGTAAAGGTAGCTCAATGAGGAAGCTAATTGATTAGATGAAGCATCCTCTTTGATCAATGAAAAGTTAATGTGATAAAAGGCTGATGATGAGGATAACAAAGATTCATCTGATCCTTCAGTGATAACCTCATAACCATCGGCTAAACTATCGTAAGCATCACTGGATAATGATGAGGCTGTTGCTGTTGTTACTCTTGCTGATGATGAAGATGGTGATGATGATGATGAAGAAGAAGAAGCTACGCCAAGACTTTCATTGTTGATGAACCATTCAATTGGACATAAAGGTTCACATTCAATTTGACAGGAAACAGTAACCGATTGATTCCTCAATATTCCCATTGTTACTGGAAGGCCTTTAATCAAACGAGGAGCTCCTGAATGGCGATCAAAGGTAAAATACGAACAGAAAAAAATGACAATTAATCAACTCTTTTTGTGCTCTTGGATAAAGAATTGGTTCAAACGTCAAAAGATTTAGTTTACTTTTTGCTTAGTTGGAAGACTCAAGTAACTTGTTTTGAATAAAAAAATCAAAAACGCGATAAAAACTTCATCGAGAAGTTTTGAATTCGAGAATTTTGGAGCATGTTAAAATTTCGTTCTGAAGTTATTTCAAGAACTTTCTGGGAATGAAAAACTTTGTGACTTTTCGCCTGTTTAAAGTTAGATGTCAACTGGTTATTTATATTTAATGGGGCAATGAATATGCAACAGTTTCTTTGGACTGTTAATGGACAGTTTTAACTCTTTTTTCATTTTTCCATTTTCCAGTTAATTTGACAAGACCAAATCTTGTTGGACAATTGTTTGCTTTTCAATTTGAAATTTAAATTTATCGAGTGCAATTTGTTTCAGTTTTGATTTGGAAATAGTCAAATCTCCTTTAGCTATGAAATTGTGTAAAGCTTGCAACTCCGACGGTAAAAAAAAGTATTTCAACTTTTTTTCCATTGAAAACGAAATCAATAGACAAACGTTATACCTTCATTTTGATAGCCTCAGGTTATCAGGTTTTGCATTGAAATCATTTTCTTTCAGATGAAAAGCACATGATTACATGAATAAACTTTTTGTTTCAATGTTGTTACAATGTCAGGTTAAATTGAGAACAGAATCAGGTTGAAATGAATTGAAAATGCAGAAAAGAGAGGAAAAAAAGAATGAAAAAATTGGTCAAAAGCTTGGTAAAGTTGGACATTTAAAAGTTAAAATTGTCACACATTAACCTGTGACCTGAAGCATTTCAATTAAATGAAGTTAATTTCTGGTCCATCTTGAATCAAATTGATTTTCTTTTTTTTAACAGAACAACTTGTCCAATAAGCTTTCATTTTGCCAGCAAAATCTCAAAACATTTCAATTTTCATCATTCAAAAGTAACATTTTGAGCCACAAAATAACAGTTATCATTGCAAGTGAAAATTGAAACAAAAAGATTCATTGAATCAAGGGAGTAATAATAATAAAACTTTTCCTTGTGAAAATCGATTGGAGTAAATCATGATTACAACCTTTGGATTATGAAACCGATCGAGTTAAAGAATCGAAATTGAGTTAAAAGGCAATCTCTTGCATCCATTCAAGAAAATAAAACATAAAAAAGCAGTTCGTGTTCATATCGACGATATTATACGAATGTACCGGGAGTTTTTTAATTTGCATTCAAAAAAGACATTAGATTTATGGTATGCGAATTTCATGATGCTGACAAAATGAAAAGAATTGGTTGAATCATTAGTTTTTCATTTGATTGCATCAAACTCAAATTTCGATCTTGTAATACATTGCAATCAATGTTGACCAGTTTGTTTCAAGTCTCATTTAAAGTATAAATATTGCAAAAGGAAATAAAGATTGATTTGTTTTTTCGCTCTGTTTGATTTACCTTTACAAATCTTGACGTACAATACTTCATTTGTTTATCTGTAAAATTTCATGAAACGAATAAATTTGATCAACTCTTTTTGTTTTCACAAATTATGAGGGTTCCCGAATGATAAAAATAAATCATTGAAGTTTGAAGGGAAAAGGTAGGTTAATCTATTGATAAATGCATTATACTTTCCATTATTATTATCAATGAATGGAAGGTTTGAGAAAATATTGTTTTCATGATAATACCTGTGATTCAGTTGAAAGTTGATCTGTTTTCTGTCCAATGGATGAGAATTGTCATTTGGTTGAGCTTAAATTTTTGTTAACTTTTTTGTTTCTTCTTTTTCTTTTTTCTTTTTCAGCATTTTTCAACATTTCATGAACAGCAAAAACTTTGCCGTCGATTCCAAATCTGCTTTGACTCACTCAAAGAAACAGATATAAATAAATATTATCAAACAACAACCAAAGCAAAACAGTTGAAGTTCAATAAATTACAAACTTTTATTTTATCCATTTATCTATCTATAAACTATTATTCAGTATTGAACTTGAAGCTTTATCTGTTTACAGACTGGATCGGTTGCCTGTTCATTCCCTGTCTAAAGGCAACAAAATAAATGGCCTTTAAAAGAGGAAAAGAGAGAAATGAGAAGAGAAAAGAAGATAATTTTAACCGATAAACTGTCTTCTCTTGAAACCTGCAAGACACGCATCTTTTTATTCATCTTCAAGCTCATCCAACTCGTCATCATTTTCTATCTTTTTCAACCAGAATTTCCCTTTTTTTCTGCTGCCAGTTTTTTCTCTCGGCTTTTCATCATCATCATTGTTGTTGTCTTGCTTTTGGTGAAACTTTTCTTTCCGCTTTCCTTTCTTTCCTTCATATTCATCTTCATCTTGCAGGTTTTTTTCTCTTCTTCTTCACTTTCACTTTGTTCACACAATTCAGTTCAGACAAAGTTTCATGATTTATGAGAAACTGGAAAGTAGACAGAAAATGAAGGGGATTGAAAAGGAAAAAGAAACGATGAAAAACAACAAACAGAAGATGAAAAAAGAGCAAAAAATGATGATTTTCTTTTCTTTTCAATAGTCTTCATGTCCAGTTTAGATTCCATTCAACTTGTCCTTGTAATACATTGAAACATGTTTTTATGGTCAACTTTAAGCTTCTTTCCGGTATCACTTGTGGAAATGCATATTTTATAAGATGACGAGCAACTAGCTTAAGCCATGATGACATGACATTCATCTACAGTTCAACAAACTTCTCATGATAAACTTACAGATTCAAGGTTAATGCAAATGACTGTCAAGACCCAATCAGACCTCAACGCAAGGCCTAACCAACTGCAGGTCTAGGTTAAGCTATGACTAGTCTAGTCGAGACAAAACAGTTACAACAATCAAGTCTTGAAAAGTTGTAAAACTAAAATTATGTTTACCAAAATTAACCAAATTTTGAGAGAAGAAACTCGATCGAAAAAAATTTCAATAAAAGTTTTTCCAAGGAAGAAATTTCCATCAGAATTTATTTGATTTTCTCAATTTCATTGAATATAAACTGAAGATAGACTGAGATTTTTTGTCTGTTTAGGTCATGATGCATTGAGAGAAAACTTTAAAAGCAGATTTTTCTTTTTCTCCAATAAATTGAAACAATTTTCAACAAAGTTACAAATCAATTGACGAATGATTTTATCATTTTTTATCCAATTTTAGCAAAAATTTGCTTACCTTTGACTTTGATTATTTGATGTGAAAACGGTCCTTCACCGAGTTTATTAACAGCAGCACATGAATAATTTCCCTGATTGGAAACTGATAGGGATTTTATGGAGTAACTTGAGGAATCAACGCCTTCCAAAAGAGTTCCTTGGTGAAGCCAGACAAATGAATGAGCCGGTGGATTACCAGAGTCACCCATCAGTGAACAAACCAAGGTAACAGTAATTCCCTTTGAAGCCATTTCACCCAAATAATGGACAGTCAGATTGGCTTGGCTTGGTTTATCTGTGAGTTTGGATGAAACGAAAAGAAAAGTTTGATTGAAATTTTGGTCAAAACTTTCTTCCTTTTCTCATCATTTCGACATTCCTTGCAATCATGACACTTTGTCATGCAAAATCAATTTCACAAATTTATGCACATTAATCCACTGGTAAAGATGATAACAGAAATTTGGTGAAAATAAATTTGAATAATCATTTGGAAAGAAGCATGTTGATGATGGAATGATTCAAATGTAAAAATGAATAATTCGGTAAAATTTATTTTCTCTCCTTTTCTTTACTTTTATTGATATTTTGTCTGAACAACATGAGAACATGGAAAGAATGTGGAAAATATTTTTCCATTTCATTAGCAACTTTTGTTCCAATAGAGAACAAAACTGTTTATTAGAAACATCAATTGAATAACGAATCGAAGTAAAAACAAAGAGAAAAATGTTTCAAGTTAAATAATAAAATCATTACTCGAATCATTAACATTTTCATATTCATTTCTTGTTCATCATGCGTTTATATTCAGGGAAAAAAACGAGAAAAGTGAATTTTCTAAGTGAATAAAATCGAAGAAAAGAAAAGTTCTTACATTGAACAATCAATTGTTTAGGAGATGAGATTGGACTCGGATAACGGGCTCCATTGAATCCTAAACACGAATAGTTGCCGGTGTGGGAACTTGTTATATTGGTGAGTGTTAATGAAGAAGCACTTGGGTCATGAGTTGTTTCAAAATGGTTCCCATTGAAGTACCATTGGACGTGAGTCAGGGTAACAGGATTACCTTGAGAAACAAGACACTGAAGAATAAGAGATTTTCCTGTTTCAATGATGACGGACGGACGAAGATCAATAGACACTTTGGGTGGATCTAGAAGGGAACAAGAATCAAATTAGTTTAACCTCAATGTTCATCTTGGAGTTTAACTTACACCAAACATCGATATATGCATGATTAGTAGAGTTGCCTGTTCCAAAGGAATTTTTCAAGGAACAGGAATAAAAACCTGAGTGACTGTGGGTGACATTTTTAATGGTTAAAGATGTTTCATCAATTTGAATGGGCAATCGGCGATCATTGCCAGTGATTAGATTACCATCTTTGTACCAAACGATGTCGGAAACATTGGGTGGATTGGCATCAAAAGAACAGGCCAAGTTTATGGTTGAACTTTCGTTGACTGCAATTCGACCTCCAGGATCGATTGTCACTGCTGGTGGATCTGTTGATTAAAAGATACAAACATTAATAATGAATTACGAGTTGGTTTGATTCAACAGCATTGGTTTAAGCAAAAGCGTTTTAAATGTTCATTAGAATCAAAAGAAAACTGATTATCAGAATTTTACTCCAAATTGACTTGGTGACAGTGGCAAGGTTCAACTAACCAATTAAGACAGTTAACCTTCCAGTCAAGTCAATTAAGATGAGCATTACTTGAACTCAACACGCAAAGAGGAAATTAACTTTTCTTATTAACTTCTGAGACGAAAAAGTTCATTGAAATGTTAGGATCAAATCAACGCAAATCAAAGTAATTAAACCCACTTGACGTCAGCATGATGACATATGTACTTCGAGTCGTAGCTTGTGAACATGCAATGTTTAATGGAGAGTTTATAAGATTTGATTGAATCATCTTCATAATCACATTCGATGCAATTGCAATCAGTCGTTCAAATATCCATAATTCAAGTTATCCATAATGTTCAACTTGATCAGGATCAGATAATCAATTTGAAACTTTTGAAGAAAAGATTTCAAAGACTTTTCGTAATAAAAATTAACTAATGAAAAAGGGTGAAATTCGATATCATGAAAATGTAAGCAGATGAGTTCAGAAAATGCAATTTCTCTGTTGAACCAATTCCAAGTTGATATTATCGAATAAAAAGAACTCGTTGCAAACATAATTCAATTGAATACAAGCTATTATAAAATCGATTGTCATATTTATGAAGAAAACCCGTTTCTACAAATGACTTGTTGAACTTTTCAACCTTCAATCAACACTCGTTAAGGCTTTAATGGCGACTAATAATGCTGACGATAATAATGCGAAAATTGAAGTCACAAGTTGGAAGAAAATGAAAAGATTATAATTTGATAATAATTGAGCATCCATACAAGGTCATTGAAAGAGGCGAAAAGGCAATAATAGGTTCGCTATTTTTCAATTTAAAGTTGGCTCTTCTAATATTAGATTACAGTTGAAACACATCAATCTTATGCAAGCAGCAAAAAATCGAGTTGCTAAAAACATTAGAGTCAAGGAAGCAAAAAACGAGAGCAAAGAGAGAGAGAAAAAGAAAAGATGAAGAGAATTAAAAAAAATGTCTAGTGATGATAAACTTTACCTCCCTGGAGTTTGAAATTTGAAAGAAAATTTGATAAAGAATATGCAACATTGTATTATATTCTGTGTTTTTATATTGAACCAAGTTGAGTGTTGTAACCTTTTTTGTGTGAGTTGCGTTCCATTCTGGTTCCAATCATTATCCAACAGAAAAGTTGGGTGAAGAAAAAAAAAGAGCTTGGAAAGTGAACAAAAGAGAAGAGGAAAAAAAAGTGCATTTTCTACTCATATTCTTATTCTCATCATTATCATGTTTGGTTTTTAAAGGATCATCAACTTTTTTCACTTCTCTCTCAATGTGTGTATCAACTGAATTTGGCTCTGAATTTTTTATCCTCTTCTTCGAGTTGAACTTTTATCTACTTGTATGGGCGGTGAACATTGAACTTTACTGGTTTCTATTCAGTTTCCCATTGATTTCCATCATCAACCTAATGATGGTGAAATGATGATGAAAGATGATTATAATGGCGATGGTAAACAAAGTAAAAGCCAAAAATCTCATAATAGGAAGTAAGGTGTGACTGAGTCTAGGTTGGGTCAACTTCCGATGTAAATTTAAAAGTTGATGGATTAGCCTTTTGGTTCAATGTTTGGTCAAAGTTGATCATTAAACAAGATTTAGCCGATAAAATAGTGAGAAGTATCAAAGTTGCTCGACAATTTAAAATGATCAATATTCATCTTTTCAATCAACTTGAATGGTAAACAAGGAAAACGCAATTTTCTCATTACATTGATTAACGCAACTTTCCTGTTTAGTTGATTAAACTAAACATTCATCAACTGCAAATAAACAAACAAGAGAATCATGAAAAAGGCCAAATTTACTTTTTTTACGCAAATTTGTAAAGCCAGGATTAGGCAAGTCTTTTTTAATCGTGCAATCCGATCTGATGATCAAATTTAGTTCATTCAAAAGTCATTAATCACGGTTTAAGGTTGAAATTTGTGAATGTTGTCTCTGTGATGATTGATATTCCATTTAAAAGTGAATCAACAATTCAATATGTCAAGTGTTCAGTGATATTTTGATGTTGATTAAACAGCTGTCGATGAGTTGAAACATTCAGTCAGTGATAAAACACTTTATAAAGAGAAAAAGTTTGAACATTTTTCCAATAGAAATGTTTTAAAAGAAGAAAAATGAAAAAGTTTTATGTACTTTGTATACTTAGTACACAGGGCCATCAATGAAATGAAAACGAATATTCCAATATTTCTATATGAACTTTCTAAAAGCAACTTTTCATACTTCCATTTGTGAAGATATTAACTGTTTACTAGTCCAAAATGGCTTTTGAATAAAGATTTTCTGTTAACATATTGCAATGAAATTACTAAAGTAGATTTGAACGAAAATTTGAATGACAATTCACGCTCGAATAAACGCTTCAACTAATCAATGCTCAGAAGCTTTTAGACTTGAACCAAATTCGCTCGCAAAGAAACCTAAAAACAGCTTAATAGCTTCATAAACGAAACAGAACTAAACTTTGATCAAGTGAAAAGGTAACAATGCAAAGATGGTTCACTCGACTGGTTATTGATGAACAGTTAGCGATACATTTCAAGCGCTTTACTTTCGTTTACTTTCGTTGCTAGTTCAAGACGAACAAGACTTAAACTTGAGCGTAATTCGATGCTCAGATTGGAATACTTTTGAGCTTCAATTGTGCGAAAGATGCTTCTCTTGAAAAGCAAATCAAAATTGAGCGTATTTCGATAGATTTTGTTCCTTTCTTGATGGGAATACTTTTTGTCTGCAAACCGATTCCCCAATAAAAGAGTAATAATTAGAAGAATCATTGATTCTCAATGGAACCAGTCAGTTGATTGATTTGCACAGAAGAAACAAAATGGGTTCAATTGAAGATGAAATATTGTATTTGAGTATTTCATCGCAAATGTTATTGACTTTCAACCAATTAATTACCAATTAGAGGTAAAGAGAAGTTGTTTCTTCTCTTTTCTTGTTTGAATCCATTTTTGGTTGTTCTTGGTTCTTCGTCAAACCTTTCTATGATCGTTATTAATTTGTTAACATTTTATTCATTGGAAACAAAATGTTGACAATGTTTACTTTGAAACTGCAAATGTTTAATGATTGATTGAAATTTAAATATCATTTTCAAACTGATTGCAAGTTAACTTTCAAATTATGCAAATAAAATGGAAACTTTTGGGTTAAACTTTCTTTGAATTTTCTTTCCCTTCACTCACCGTCCAACTTAACATTCATCTTGAATAATGTCATTGATTTATTCCGACTCATGTCCAACAAGTTTAACATGGAAATTGCTGTTTCTCTTTTATTTTGTTAACTCAATCCTCTTTGAACATCTTCATCTTCTTTGTCATCGTTTTGATTGTTGCATTCATTTTGCATTTGCTTTTGTTCAACTTTGACTAACGCAATTGTCAACTGTCAATGTATTTGATTTGCAAAGACAAATAGATTAAAGTTGAAATTCATTGGTGCAACAATCGAGTCTTATTGAAAAGGGAATGACTGAATCTTCTGTTGACCCAAAGTTCAGGCAACCAAAAGAGATGGAGAAATGTTTAGAAATGAAAATTCAATTTGAGTCATGAGAATCATGATTAACAATAGAATCTTGTACCATAATAATGTTTGGTTAGACAAACAATTTGGTAAACAAGATGAATTTTAAAATTCAAATGCTGCCAACATCAACAAATTATGATTGACATTCAGATTTCATTAATGGTTAAAGGAATGATAATGAAGAATTACAAGTTTCAGTAAAAAGCCAACTTTTATCAAGCGAAATCAACCGAACCAGTTTCTTCGAAAAGGATTCTGATTCATTCAACACGCAATTGAACTGTCAACTGCTTACAATGTTTCGAATCAAAACACTTTGACATTGTAAAAGCTCAAAGTTTTTAACATCGATCACTTTCTAATAAACCACAAGACAAAGATCAATAAGACACTGGAATAGCAGTTAATCAGTTAATAGCATTCAATCAACTGAATGCGATTGATATCGATATGATGAACTGTAACCTCATTTAACCAGATTTGGTACTTTTCAAGATTCGTAAACTTTTTGAGTTCTTTCATTTTCGCAAGACAAAACTGAAAGGTTTTGATTCGATTTTGAAGATGATCTTTGAGTGTCATTGAGCATTTCGTTATGAGACTAAATTGCGCGAACGAAACTGTTTTAATTTTGCTCTTGAAGGCAACTTTTGTCTGGAGATCAACTTAATCCAAAAGCTTGACGAGCTGCAAGAGATTGTCAAGACTGCAAGTTGAGGTGTCAAAGTGGATGAGATTCATTGAGATTACTGATGCTCGGAATGAATGGTCAAGTTTTTTTCATTTTTGCTGTTCATCAAACGAACTTATTGTCCAAAATTTGCTTCATTTCGGAAGATGAAGAAGACAAAAAATGGAATGAAAGGAGAATTTTTTTCTCTTTTTGCTTCTTTAATGACACTTTTTTGTATCAAGACATTTCTGTATGATCATTATCTGTAAGGAAAGGGAATGAAAAGAAGAAAAAGTTCATCCGAGTCCAAAATTCCTGCAAAAGATGACAAAGTTACTCTCAGTTTTACCTTTCATACTTTTATTCGTGTTTTCATTCGACAAAAATTTCTTTTCTTACTCACTTCACTCTTGATTCAACTTGAAACTAAACCATATTAATTAATAATCCAAATGCATTTAATCTATTTCCACCCTAATTAATAACGATCTTACCCAAAGGCTTTCATACCGTCAACATTGTTACCCGAAATGTGATAACATTGTCATCAACTGGAACAACAATGAAATGTTAGATCAAAAATCAAGATTCTCATCCAGTTTCAAAGTATTCAATGAGAATCAT